GCACCCACACCCACCCACACCCTTGATTCAAAGATGACACTTCAATATACCATACCTCATGGAATCCAACTAAAGCCAGGTAGCGAATTACGAGTCTTTTCGAACCCAGATTTTGAAGTTGCTCAATCATCTTCAAATGAGAGCATTTTTTCATCATCATTGTATCAGAAGCTTGCCGTAAACAATGTATATTCAGTGGGTATTTGATTGTCTGAAACTATTCTGCTGATCATATTTTTCTAACTGTATTTAGATATTGGTGAGAACATCGAGATGTAGTTGTGTAATGAACATGGTCAAGATATTGCATCATGCATACAGTCGGCAGAAGCTGATTGGATGGAATGTGAATGATCTCAGAGTCACGAATTAATTCTTATCAAGAATTAGGCTGATAGTTTACTTCGATTTTCAACGCTAAACTGTTAGCATTTTTCAATAGAATTTTTTAGTTTTTTTTTCCATTAAAATAAACTAAAAAATAAGTATGATTGGATTTTTAAACGCAGTTGTTTAAGCATTCAATTGCTCAGTCAAAAAATTAGATCATTATCTTACCTAGACATGCACCAAACCCAAACTGTTTGGGTTTGGGTTTGGGTATTTAGTTGAAGTGCGAGCAAGCATTTGTTGTCATCCAATATTCAAATATGACAATACAACTTTGTAGCTTAGTTCAAGTTAGCATAAGCAAAGGCGCATAAAGTTGAATTAAAATTTCACTGACTTCGGCAAATATTTTTGTAATGACTTAAGTGCGTGATAGATTATTGGAAACGTTTTGACAGTATATACTAATATCTTATATATACTGTGCCAGAAGTTTTTAGGAAGCTTAAATTTACTATCCCTATATTATTAAGCATGATCATAATTGAATATCAGATACTCGTCTTTCACTATCAATTTCAAAAGAAAACTAGCATAGAGTATTCGACATATTTTTATAATCATGATGTAGGTGAATAGAAGGTTATTCATGAGGGTGTAGGTGTTGACTTCCATTTGACAGCCATCGCCACACACCCAGACCCACACCCAAACCTCTTCGAAAAGCTTCATTTGAATCCAATTTTCATGGAGAATATTTTCCTTCAGCTTAAAATATTTATCCGTAGTAAATAGCCAAACTATCATAGTAAAAATCTCTATTTTTCTGAAAGAAAGGACTCTATAATTTTATATTTTAAAAAATGTTTAAAATTTTAAAGTCAAAACTTCTTTTTTTGGAATTGAACTGATGCTCATTATTTTGTTTAGCACAATGTCAGAAGAAATAAGGCATTTCAAAATCGAACATTTTTCTTAAGAATAATATTTTTTATGAAGTATTTTTATCTTCAATTTATATATTCAAGAAGAATAGAAAACTATTTCTCATCAGGTTTTAAAGAATCTATGAATTTTTTGAATCCAGACTTTTGGAAATCACCGAAGGCTCTCGAATCTTTAATAGTAGCGTCAACAGCTAGAGAATCTAACTTATTTTTCTCTGTTTTTGATAAAATAACGGTGGTCGTAGATGAGCGTAACGATAAAATTGAACCAAACTGTTTAAGATTTTGTCGTTGAGCTAAATGACGTTTAAGACTTGATGTTCCATATTTCGGTGTTAATAATTCTTCTGCATATAATAAACATTTACCTTTTAAAGAAGTGACATTAATGCAGCGTTCAAAGTATTCCTAAACATTAGATTTTAATAATGGAGTTCCTGTAAGATCTCGTGGTGTTACGACTGTTGTTGTTGTTGTTGCTGCTGCTGCTGCTGCTGCCGATAGTGATAGTAGTGATGAATCAACAGATGATGTTGAAGGTAACGCATCTC